TGGTGCATGCTCGAGTATTTTGGCAAGACAAATGCAATTTTGATTTTCGTAAAATTATATAAATGCATAGGCATGGGCGTGTCGGAGTGATTATCAGGCATGACTAAAAATCATGTGGCCTTTGCCCGCGCAGGTTTGAATCCTGTTGCTCACGATCAATGTTGAATTGGTTATTGAGGATTACTATATAAAAACCTATGTTTCGCCTTGCACCTCCTCTTTCTATAACCTCTTTAATGTGGTGCATGCTCGAGTATTTTGGCAAGACAGATGCAATTTTGATTTTCGTAAAATTATATAAATGCGTAGGCGTGGGCGTGTCGGAGTGGTTATCGGGCATGACTAGAAATCATGTGGGCTTTGCCTGCACAAGTTCGAATCCTGCTGCTTGTCACGGTTATGCTTGTCCAGGGCGTGTTGCCCATGGCCGCATGCCCATGACAAGCCAAACCCTTGTCACGTCTTTTCTCTTGCTAAGCCATTGTACTATAGGGGATATGACTAGTTGCTAAGCCATTGTTATCTTACTCTTGCTTGCTTATATAACGTCTCTTTCTAAAACCTCTCTCTCTCCTCGTTTTCTAAAACCTTCTTTTAAAACCGAGGCTAGAGGCTCGATCATACGTCGCTTGGCTGTAGGCGACGCAAGAACAAATTGGCTTAGCTCACTTGTCGTTAGAAAGTGAGTGCCGCACAATCGCTAGTCCGCTGCCTTCGAAAGCGTGATTGTGTCAAGTGGTATCAGAGCTTTGTTAGCTCCGTAACATCGTAAAGACCGAAATCATGTCGACGACAAAGTCGACACCCAAAGCACAAGCCGACCGACTTATGCTAATAGAGGAGGAAATGCTGTTCCTTAAAGAAGTCCCTGACACCCACCGCTTCCTGGAAGCACGGGTGACCGAATTGAGTGGGAAAGTCGTAGAAATCAACGCAATGGGCAACCGCTTGGATGGGTTGCCAATCGTAGAACTGATGTTTCGAGTGACCTCGCTCGAAGAAAGAGTTGCTCCTACGAGCAGTCCAAAACCGTCTGGTAGTCTGGATAGCTCTGTCGCGCACAAAGAGGGACGTGACGAAGAGTTCGACGTGCTACAAAATACAATGATGAGTTTGTTCAATGGATTAGCTGATGAATTTAGAACAATAATCGACAACATCCAAGAAAGGATGGCCTCCATGAGCACTCAAATTGAAGTGACCATGAAAGCCGTGGAGGGCGTCACGGCTGGGCAAACTAATGTAGGATCCAACAAACTAAGGTTCCTAGACCCTAGAGCCTTCAAAGGGAATCGGGATGCCAAAGAGTTGGAAAACTTCATCTTTGATATCGAACAGTACTTCAAAGTCACAACAGCTTGTACCGAGGACAAGAAGGTGACTGTAGCCTCGATGTATCTCATAGACGACGCCAAATTGTGGTGGCGTACGAAGGTGCAAGACATCGAGGATGGATTGTTCACCATCGGCTCATGGGAGGACCTCAAGAAAGAGTTGAGGGAACAATTCCTCCCCGAAAACGCAGGACATATAACAATGGAGAAAATAGTAGCCCTGAAACATACTGGAAACATACGGGACTATGTCAGATAGTTCTCAACCCTGATGCTAGATATCAGAGGCACAGCAGAGAAGGACAAGGTGTTCTTCTTTATAAATGGGTTACAGCCGTGGGCCAAAACAAAGATACATGAGAACAAGGTCCAAACCCTAGCTGTCGCAATTTGCCGTGGGCCATTCTTGGGATCACAGTTCGTAGTGAAGACGGATAACAGCGCCATTTGCCACTTCTTTGATCAACCAAAATTAACGGCAAAACAAGCCCGGTGGCAGGAGTCGTTGGCCGAATTCGACTTCAAGTTCGAACACAAAGCAGGAAAGAATAATCAAGCAGCCGACGCACGAGTCGGAAGGGCGAACATGCGGCCCTGTGCATGTTAGCCCATATTCATTCAAGTAAGATCGATGGATCGATGCGCAACATCATCAAGGAACATTTACATAAAGACCCATTGGCCAAAGCCGTCGTCGAACTAGCTAAAGCTGGGAAAACACGACAGTTTTGGGTTGAGGGAGACCTCCTGAAGACCAAAGAAAACAGATTGTATGTCCCAAGAATGGGGGAACTGAGGAAGAAGCTCATTCAGAAATGTCATGATACCTTATGGGTCGGACACCCTGGGTGGCAAAGAACATACGCCCTAATAAAGAAGGGGTACTTCTGGCCAAACATGCGAGACGACATCATGCAATACACCAAGACGTGCCTCATCTGTCAACAGGACAAAGTCGAGAAAACCAAAGTCTCAGGACTCTTGGAACCTCTACCTGTGCCAACAAGACCCTGGGAAAGTGTATCTCTAGACTTCATAACACACCTCCCAAAAGTTGGGGAATATGACGCCATCTTGATTCTCAAAATATGCGACATTCATCCCCACTCCCAAATTATGCTCGGCGGAACTCACAGCCCAACTATTTTTCAAACACGTTGTAAAGTTATGGGGCGTTCCGTCAAGCATCATCAGTGATAGGGATGACAGATTCATTGGGACATTCTGAACTGAGTTATTCGCCTTCTTGGGAACAACCTTAAACATCTCCTCGAGTTATCACCCTCAAACTGATGGACAGACAGATCAGTTCAATTGCTTGCTCAAAGAATACTCACGTCACTTCGTCGACGCTCGCAAGAAGAACTAGATACAACTGTTAGATGTCGCCCAATTTTGCTTCAATTGTCAAACAAGCTCGTCTACGGGAAAGAGTCCCTTCGAAATTGTAAGTGGACGACAACCGGCCTTACCCTATATTATTGATCATCCTTATGCAGGAAAAAACCCTCAAGCTCACAACTTTACAAGAGAATGGAAGCAGACGACAGATATAGCCCGGGCATATTTAGAGAAGGCTTCCAAGCATATGAAAAAGTGGGCGGACAAGAAGTGTCGCCCCCTTCAATTCCGAGTAGGAGATCAAGTTCTCATCAAGCTGAGACCAGAACAGATCAGATTTCGCAACCAAAAGGACCAGAGACTAGTACGAATATGGAGGCCCGGTTGAAGTTCTTAAAAAGATCGGGGCTACCTCTTACCGAGTTGCACTACCCGCATGGATGAAAATCCACCTAGTAATTCATGTGAGCAACTTGAAGCCCTACCACCCTGACCTAAACGACGACCAACGAAATGCAATCACGAGACTGAGCATAGATCTGAAGCAAAAAGATACAAAAGAAGTAGAAGAGATCCTAGCCGACAGGGTTAGGAAGATAGGAAGACCTATATGGACGATTCGTGAATTCCTTGTCAAATGGAAGAATCTCCCTATAGAGGAAACCAGCTGGGAACGCGCCGAAGATCTGAACTCCGCCGCCACCCACATCGCAAGGTATGAAAGTAGTCGGTTGACAGGGACGTCAACCAATTAGGTGGGGGAGGATGTCATGGTCATGCTCGTCCAGGGCGTGTTGCCCATGGCTGCATGCCCATGACAAGCCAAACCCTTGTCATGTCTTTTCATTCTATTGTTTTTCCTTTTGTAGTTCTAGGGCGTATGACGCCTCAAAAATATCATGTCTAGGCCTACTAGACATAAATGGCTCAGAATGTACTATAGGGGGATATGACTAGTTGTCAACTTCTCCCTACCCAAGGTTATATATGCTAAGCCGTTGTTATGTTTCAATTGCTTGCTTATATTACGTCTCTTTCCAAAATCTCTCTTTCTAAAATCTCTCTCTCTCCTCGTTTTCTAAAACTTTCTTTTAAAACCGAGGCTAGAGGCTCGATCATACGTCGCTTGGCCGTAGGCGACGAAAGAACAAATTGGCTTAGCTCACTTGTCGTTGGAAAGTGTGTGCCGCACAATCGCTAGTCCGCTGCCTTCGAAAGTGCGATTGTGTCATAGCTCACGACCAATATTGAATTGGTATATTGAGGATCACTATATAAAAACCTATGTTTGCCTTGCACCTACTCTTTCTATAACCTCTTTAATGTGGTGCATGCTCGAGTATTTTGGCAAGACAGATGCAATTTTTATTTTCGTAAAATTATATAAATGCATAGGTGTGGGCGTGTCGGAGTGGTTATCGAGCATGACTAGAAATCATGTGGGCATTGCTCATGCAGGTTCGAATCCTACTGCTCACGATCAATGATGAATTGGTTATTGGCCTTGCACCTACTCTTGATATAACCTCTTTAATGTGGTGCATGCTCGAGTATTTTGGCAAGACAATGTAATTTTGATTTTTGTAAAATTATATAAATGCATAGGAGTGGGCGTGCTGGAGTGGTTATCGGGCATGATTGGAAATCATGTGGGCTTTGCCCCCCGCGCAGGTTCAAATCTAATCCTGTCGCTCCCGATCAATGTTCAATTGGTTATTGAGGATCACTATATGAAAACCTATGTTTGCCTTGCACCTACACTTTCTAACCTCTTTAATATGGTGGGTGCTCGAGTATTTTGGCAAGACAGATGCAATTTTTATTTCCGTAAAATTATATAAATGCATAGGCGTGGGTGTGCCGGAGTGGTTATCGGGCATGACTAGGAATCATGTGGGCTTTGCACGTGCAGGTTTGAATCCTGCCGCTCACGATCAATGTTGAATTGCTTATTAAGTATCACCATATAAAAACCTATATTTACCTTGCACCTACTCTTTCTATAACCTCTTTAATGTGGTGCATGCTCGAGTATTTTGGCACGACAAATGCAATTTTGATTTTTGTAAAATTATATAAATGCATAGGTGTGGGCGTGCGGGAATGGTTATCGGACATGATTAGAAATCATGTGGGCTTTGCCCGCGCAGGTTTGAATCCTGCCGCTCACGATCAATGTTGAATTGGTTATTGAGGATCACTATATGAAAACCTATGTTTGCCTTGCACCTACTCTTTCTAACCTCTTTAATATGGTGGGTGCTCGAGTATTGTTGCAAGACAGATGCAATTTTAATTTTCGTAAAATTATATAAATGCATAGGCATGGGCGTGCCGGAGTGGTTATTGGTCATGACTAAAAATCATGTGGGCTTTGCCCGCGTAGGTTCGAATCCTTCTGCTCACGATCAATGGTGAATTGGTTATTGAGGATCACTATATTAAAACCTATGTTTGCCTTGCACCTACTCTTTTGTAAAATTATATAAATGCATAGGAATGGGCGTGCGGGAGTGGTTATCGGGCATGATTTGAACGGGGGGCAAAATGCAATTTTAATTTTCATAAAATTATATAAATGCATAGGCATGGGCGTGTCGGAGTGGTAATTGGGCATGACTAGAAATCATGTGGGCTTTGTGTCACGGTCATGCTTGTCCAGGGCATGTTGCCCATGGCCGCATGCTCATGACAAGCCAAAACCTTGTCATGTCTTTTCATTCTAGTGTTTTTCCTTTTGTAATTCTAGAGCGTATGACACCTCAAAAATATCATGTCTAGGCCTGCCAGAACTAAAATGGCCCTGAATGTACTATAGGGGGATATGACTAGTCGTCAACTTCTCCCTACCCAAGGTTATATATGCTAAGCCGTTGTTATCTTTCTCTTGCTTGCTTATATAACGTCTCTTTCTAAAATCTCTCTTTCTAAAATCTCTCTCTCTCCTCGTTTTCTAAAACCTTCTTTTAAAACTGAGGCTAGAGGCTCGACCGTACGTCGCTTGGCCGTAGGCGACGCAAGAACAAATTGGCTTAACTCACTTGTCGCTGGAAAGTGAGTGTCGCACAATCGCTAGTCCGCTGCCTTCGAAAGCGCGATTGTTATCCTAGTAATGCCCTTTGGCTTGACAAACGCCCAGCTACGTTCTGCACGTTGATGAACCAGGTTTTCTACGAATACCTGGATCAGTTCGTCATAGTATACCTCGACGACATTGTTGTTTACAGCACAACCCTCGAGGAACACAAAGTGCACTTGAAGCTAGTGTTTGACAAGCTCCGGCAGAACCAGCTGTATGTGAAGAAGGAGATATGTGCATTCGCACAAACATGCATCAACTTCCTTGGACATGTCGTCAGATGTGGACAAATTAGTATGGATAGCGACAAGATAAAAGCTATACAAGAATGGAAGGTTCCTACTTCCGTATCTGAGTTGCGGTCCTTCTTAGGACTAGCCAACTACTATAGGCGGTTCGTCGAAGGGTTTTCACGACGAGCCGCCCCATTGACAGAGCTATTGAAGAAAGACCACCCTTGGTCGTGGTCGAATGATTGTCAAATGGCCTTTGAAAATCTGAAAACAACCATGACGAGGGGTCCTGTCCTCGGGTTGGTAGACATCACAAAGCCATTTGAAGTAGAAACCGATGCTTTCGACTTTGCTCTCGGTGGAGTTCTTATTCAAGAAGGCCACCCCATCGCTTATGAAAGTCGAAAGCTCAACAATGCCGAACGAAGATACACTGTCTCCGAGAAAGAAATGCTGGCTGTAGTCCATTGCCTTCGAGTCTGGAGACAGTATCTCTTAGGATCACAGTTCGTAGTGAAGACGGATAACAGTGCCACTTGCCACTTCTTTGATCAACCAAAATTAACAGCAAAACAAGCCCGGTGGCAGGAGTCGTTGGCCGAATTCGACTTCAAGTTCGAACACAAGGCAGGAAAGAGTAATCAAGCAGCCGACGCGCTGAGTCGGAAGGGCGAACATGCGGCCCTGTGCATGTTAGCCCATATTCATTCAAGTAAGATCGATGGATCGATGCGCGACATCATCAAGGAACATTTACACAAAGACCCTTGGCCAAAGCTGTTGTCGAACTAGTTAAGGCTGGAAAGACACGGCAGTTTTGGGTTGAGGGGAACCTCTTGATAACCAAAGAAAACAGATTGTACGTCCCAAGAACAGGAGAACTAAGGAAGAAACTCATTCAGGAATGTCATGATACCTTGTGGGCCGGACATCCTGGGTGGCAAAGAACATACGCCCTAATAAAGAAGGGGTACTTCTGGCCAAACATGCGAGACGACATCATGCAATACACCAAGACGTGCCTCATCTGCCAACAGGATAAGGTCGAGAAAGCCAAAGTCTCTGGACTTTTGGAACCTCTACCTGTGCCAACAAGACCTTGGGAAAGTGTATCTCTGGACTTCATAACACACCTCCCAAAGGTCGGGGAATATGACGCCATCTTGGTTATTGTAGACCGATTCTCAAAATATGCGACATTCATCCCCACTCCCAAATTATGCTCGGCGAAACTCACAACCCAACTGTTTTTCAAACACGTTGTAAAGTTATAGGGCATTCCGTCGAGCATCATCAGTGATAGGGATGGCAGATTCATTGGGACATTCTGGACTGAGTTATTCGCTTTCTTGGGAACAACCTTAAACATCTCCTCGAGTTATCACCCTCAAACCGATGGACAGACAGAACGGTTCAATTGCTTGCTCGAAGAATACTTACGTTACTTCGTCGACGCTCGCCAAAAGAACTGGATACAATTGTTAGATGTCGCCCAATTTTGCTTCAATTGTCAAACCAGCTCATCTACAGGGAAGAGTCCCTTCGAAATTGTAAGTGGACGACAACCGGTCTTACCCCATATTATTGATCATCTTTATGCAGGAAAAAACCCTCAAGCTCACAACTTTACAAGAGAATGGAAGTAGACGACAGATATAGCCCGGGCATATTTAGAGAAGGCTTCCAAGCATATGAAGAAATGGGCGGACAAGAAGCGTTGCCCCCTTCAATTCCGTGCAGGAGATCAAGTCCTTATCAAGCTGAGACTAGAATAGATCAGATTTCGTAGCCAAAAGGACCAGAGACTAGTTCGTAAATATGAAGGCCCGGTTGAAGTCCTTAAAAAGATCGGGGCTACCTCCTACCGAGTTGCACTACCCGCATGGATGAAAATCCATCCCGTCATTCATGTGAGCAACTTGAAGCCCTATCACCCTGATCCAGACGACGACCAACGAAATGCAACCACAAGACCGAACATCGATCTGAAGCAAAAAGAAACAAAGGAAGTGGAAGAGATCCTAGCCTACAGGGTTAGGAAGATAGGAAGACCTGTACGGACGATTCGTGAATTCCTTGTCAAATGGAAGAATCTCCCTACAGAGGAAACAAGCTGGGAACGCGCCAAAGAGCTGAACTCCGCCGCCACCCACATCGCAAGGTATGAAAGTAGTCGGTTGACAGGGACATCAACCAATTAGGTGGGGGAGGATGTCACGGTCATGCTTGTCCAGGGCATGTTGCCCATGGCCGCATGCCCATGACAAGCCAAACCCTTGTCATGTCTTTTCATTCTAGTGTTTTTCCTTTTGTAATTCTAGAGCGTATGACACCTCAAAAATATCATGTCTAGGCCTGCCAGAACTAAAATGGCCCTGAATGTACTATAGGGGGATATGACTAGTCATCAACTTCTCCCTACCCAAGGTTATATATGCTAAGCCGTTGTTATCTTTCTCTTGCTTGCTTATATAACGTCTCTTTCTAAAATCTCTCTTTCTAAAATCTCTCTCTCTCCTCGTTTTCTAAAACCTTCTTTTAAAACCGAGGCTAGAGGCTCGACCGTACGTCGCTTGGCCGTAGGCGACGCAAGAACAAATTGGCTTAACTCACTTGTCGCTGGAAAGTGAGTGCCGCACAATCGCTAGTCCGCTGCCTTCGAAAGCGCGATTGTGTCACTTTGTCCGCGCAGGTTCGAATCCTACCGCTCACGATCAATGTTGAATTGCTTATTAAGTATCACTATAAAAAAACCTATGTTTGCCTTGCACCTACCCTCAAATGCAATTTTGATTTTAGTATTTCGGCGAGACAAATACAGATGCAATTTTTATTTTCGTAAAATTATATAAATGCATAGGCGTGGGCGTGCCGGAGTGGTTATCAGGCATGACTAGAAATCATGTGGGCTTTTCTCGGACAGGTTCTCGAATCCTACCTCTCACGATCAATATTGAATTGGTTATTGAGGATCACTACATAAAAACCTATGTTTGCCTTGCACCTATCCTCAAGACAAATGCAATTTTGATTTTAGTATTTCGGCGAGACAAATACAATTTTGATTTTCGTAAAATTATAGAAATGTATAGGTGTGGGTGTGCCGGAGTGGTTATCGGGCATGACTAGAAATCATGTGGGTTTTGCCCGCGCAGGTTCGAATCCTGCCGCTCACGATCAATGTTGAAGTGCTTAGCGAGGATCGCTATATAAAAACCTATGTTTGCCTTGCACCTACTCTTTCTATAACCTCGTTAATGTGGTGCATGAGTATTTTGGCTAGACAAAGCGTGGACGTGTCGGAGTGGTTATTGGGTATGACTAGAATTTATGTCGGCTTTGCCCGCACAGATTCGAATCCTGTCGCTTATGATCAATAGTGAATTTGTTATTGAGGATCACAATATAAAAACCTATTTAATGCGGTGCATGCTCGAGTATTTTTTGGCAAGACAAATGTAATTTTGATTTTCGTAAAATTATATAAATGCATAGGCGTCGGTCACGATCAATGTTGAAGTGCTTATTGAGGATCACTATATAAAAACCTATGTTTGCCTTGCACCTACTCTTTCTATAACCTCTTTAATGTGGTGCATGCTCGAGTATTTTGGCAAGACAAAGCGTGGGCGTGTCGGAGTGGTTATCGGGTATGACTAGAAATCATGTCGGTTTTGCCCGCGTAGGTTTGAATCCTGCCGCTCACGATCAATGTTGAATTGGCTATTGAGGATCACTATATAAAAACCCATGTTTGCTTTGCACCTACCCTCAAGACAAATGCAATTTTGATTTTAGTATTTCGGTGAGACAAATACAATTTTGATTTTCGTAAAATTATAGAAATGTATAGGTGTGGGCGTGCCGGAGTTGTTATCGGGCATGACTAGAAATCATGTGGGCTTTACTTATTGAAGGATCACCATATAAAAACCTATGTTTGCCTTGCACCTACTCTTTCTATAACCTCTTTAATGTGGTGCATGCTTGAGTATTTTGGCAAGACAGATGCAATTTTTATTTTCGTAAAATTATATAAATGCATAAGTGTGGGCGTGCCGGAGTGGTTATCGGACATGACTAGAAATCATGTGGGCTTTGCTCGGGCAGGTTTGAAACCTACCGCTCACGCACGATCAATTTTGAATTGGTTATTGAGGATCACTATATAAAAACCTATGTTTGCCTTGCACCTACCCTCAAGACAAATGCAATTTTGATTTTAGTATTTCGGCGAGACAAATACAATTTTGATGTTCGTAAAATTATAGAAATGTATAGGTGTGGGTGTGTCGGAGTGGTTATTGGGCATGACTAGGTTCAAATCCTGTTGCTCACGATCAATGTTGAATTGCTTATTGAGAATCACTATATAAAAACCTCTTTAATGTGGTGCATGCTCAAGTACTTGGCAAGACAAATGCAATTTTGATTTTCGTAAAATTATATAAATGCATAGCCATAGCCCTGGGCGTGCCAGAGTGGTTATCGGGCATGACGGGCTTTGCCTGCTCACGATCAATGTTCAATTGGTTATTAAGGATCACTATATAAAAAAATTTTGTTTGCCTTGCACCTACTCTTTCTATAACCTCTTTAATGTGGTGCATCGAGTATTTTGGCAAGACAAATGCAATTTTGATTTTCGTAAAATTATATAAATGCATAGGCGTGGGCGTGCCGGAGTGCTTATCGGGCATGACTAGAAATCATGTGGGCTTTACCCGCACAGGTTTGAATCCTGACGCTCACGATCAATGTTGAATTGGTTATTGAGGATCACTATATAAAAACCTATGTTTTGCCTTGCACCTACTCTTTCTGTAACCTCTTTAATGTGGTGCATGCTCGACTATTTTTGCAAGACAAATGCAATTTTGATTTTCGTAAAATTATATAAATGCATAGGCGTGGGCGTGTCGGAGTGGTTATCAGGCATGACTAGAAATCATGTGGCCTTTGCCCGCGCAGGTTTGAATCCTACTGCTCACGATCAATGTTGAATTGGTTATTGATGATCACTATATAAAAACCTATGTTTTGCCTTGCACCTCCTCTTTCTATAACCGAGTATTTTGGCAAGACAGATGCAATTTTGATTTTCGTAAAATTATATAAATACATAGGCGTGGGCGTGCCGGAGTGGTTATTGGGCATGACTAGAAATCATGTGGGCTTTGCCCACGTAGGTTCGAATCCTGCCACTCACGATCAATTTTGAATTGGTTATTGATGATCACTATATAAAAACCTATGTTTGCCTTGCACTAACTCTTTCTAACTTCTTCTTTAGTGTGGTGCATGCTCGAGTATTTTGGCGAGACAATTGCAACTTTGATTTTCATAAAATTATATAAATGCATAGGTGTGGGCGTGTCGAAGTGATTATCGGGCATGACATTATATAAATGCGTGGGTGTGCCAGAGTGGTTATCGAGCATGACTAGAAATTATGTAGGCTTTGGCCCCGCAGGTTCAAATCCCGCTCAATCAATGTTAAATTGCTTATGGAGGATCACTATATAAAAACCTATGTTTGCACTGGTGCATGCTCTAGTGATTATTCCTTCCATTATTTTGGCGAGACAAATGCAATATTGATTTTCGTAAAATCATATAAATGCATAGGCGTGGGCGTGCCGGAGTGGTTATCGGGCATGACTAGAAATCATATGGGCTTTGCCCGCCAAGTTTCATGCTCTGCTCGAGTGCGCTTATTCTTTACATTATTTTGGCGAAACAAATGCAATTTTGATTTTCGTAACATCATATAAATTTATATGCGTGGGCGCGCCGTAGTAGTTATCGAGCATGACTAGAAATCTTGTGGGCTTTGCCCGCACACATTCGAATCCTGCCGCTCACGATCTCAATGCTGAAGTGCTTATCGAAGATCACTATATAGAAACCACTAGAAATCTTGTGGGCTTTGCCTGCGCACGTTAGACAAATGCAATTTTGATTTTCGTAACATCATATAAATTTATATGCGTGGGCGTGCCGTAGTAGTTATCGAGCATGACTAGAAATCTTGTGGGCTTTGCTGGCGCACGTTCAAATCCTGCCGCTCACGATCTCAATGCTGAAGTGCTTATCAAAGATCACTATATAGAAACCTATGTTAGCAAATACTACTCTTTCTATAATGTGGGGCATGAAATCATAAATTTATATGCGTGGGTGTGCCGGGTATCGGACATGACTGGAAATCATGTGGGGATCAACAACAATGCAATTTTGCAATTTTGATTTTCGTAAAATCCTATAAATTTATATGTGTGGGCGTGCCGGAGTAGTTAGCCACTCACAATCTCAATGTTGAAGTGCTTATCGAAGATCACTATATAGAATGTGGGGCATGAAATCATAAATTTATATACGTGAGTGTGTCGGTTATCGGGCATGGCTAGAAATCATGTGGGGATCAACAAATGTAATTTTGCAATTTTGATTTTCGTAAAATCATATAAATTTATATGCGTGGGCGTGCCGGAGTGGTTATCGGGCATGACTAGAAATCATGTGGGCTTCGCCCGCGCAGGTTCAAATTCTGCCGCTCACGATCTCAATGCTGAAGTGCTTATCTAAGATCATTATATAGGAACCTATGTTTGCCTTGCATATACGTGGGTGTGCCGGAGTGGTTATCGGCGAGCTTTGCTGAACTGCTTATCATGGATCACTATATAAATACCTATGTTTACTGCTCTTTTAACTTCTATAATGCGGGGTATGTTTGAGTGTGCTTATTCTTTCCATTATTTTGGCGAGACAAATACAATTTAGATGCGTGGGCGTGCCGGAGTGATTATCGGGCATGACTTGAAATCATGTGGGCTTTTTGCCCGCATAGGTTCAAATCTTATCGAAGATCACTATATAAATGGTTATCGGGCATGACTAGAAATCATGTGAGTGTGCCCGCGCACATTCGAATCATGCCGCTCACGATCAATGTTGAATTGCTTGTCATGGATCACTATATAAATACCTATGTTAGCTTTGCAAATATTGCTCTTTCTAACTTCTATAATGTGGGGCATGCTGAGACAAATGCATTTTTTATTTTCGTAAGATCATATAAATTTATATGTGTGGACGTGCTAGAGTGGTTATTGGGCATGATTTGATATCATGTGGGCTTTTTTACCCATGCAGGTTCAAATCCTAATGCTCACGATCTCAATGCTGTAGTGCTTATTTTAGATCACTACATAAATTTTTATGCGTGGGCGTGCCGAAGTAGTTATAGAGCATGAATAGAAATCATGTGGTCTTTGCCCTGCGTAGGTTCGAATCCTGCCGCTCACGATCGATCAATGCTGAAGTGCTTAACGGTGGCCGTGCCGGAGTGGGATTATTCTTTCCATTACTTTGGCGAGACAAATGCAATTTTGATTTTCGTAAAATCATATAAATTTGTATGTGTGGGCATGCCGAAGTGCGGTTCGAATCCTACCGCTCACGATCAATGCTCATCTCCCTGTGTTCGCTTTGCAAGTGTGATTATTCTTTCCATTATTTTTGCGAGACAAATACAATTTTGATTTTCGTAACATCATATGAATTTATATGCGGGGGCGTGCCGGAGCTAGCACAGAGTTAGCCGATGCTTATTCCCTAGATACCGTCATTGCTTCTTCTCCAGGAAAAGAAGTTCACAACCGGTAGACCTTCTACCTCCCCGCGGCGTTGCTCTGTCAGGCTTTCGCCCATTGTAGAAAATTCTCCATTGCTACCTCCTGTAGGAGTCTGGGCCGTGTCTCAGTCCTAGTGTGACCGAGTGTAATTATTCAAATTTATATACGTAGTGTGTCGGAGTGGTTATCGGGAATGACTAGAGAAATCTGTGGGCTTTTTGCCTGCGCACGATCCGAAGTGAATTTTCTAACTTCTATAATGTTGGGCATGCCTGAGTGTGATTATTCGTTCCATTATTTTGGCAAGACAAATGCAATTTTGAGTTTTTTAAAATCATATAAATTTATATACGTGGGCATGTCGGAGTGGTTATCGAGCATGACTAGACATCATGTGTCATGTGGGCTTTGCCCTCGCGATCAAACCTTATGTGTAGCATAAACCTCTTTCCTGAGTGTTTGTATATAAATATCATTTGATTGATGTTGCAGATCTCTTGGATCAAAATTTAGCTAGTTTTGAGTAGAATATAAGAGTCTCCGTCGTTCTTGAAGTCGATAAACAAGAAGATGAATTAACTACATAAATACTGGAAAAATATTCTTACTTATAAGACTAAGAACCTCCAATCGATGATCATTTTGTTTCCTTCAGTCAAGCATGTCATCATCCTCATCAGCAAGAATTACCAACAAATACACATTAATCTTCAAGCTCCTTATAAAAATTATAACGGTGTTATACCATAGTCATCGACATCCATTGTTTCATCGTTAGTAATGGAATCTTCAACAATTGATGTACATTACCTATAACTAGCACTAGCAACCATTGTCTCTCCCAAATACAATTGAATCCGAAGATGTTATTGAACTTAAATTCATTTCTATATTTATTAATATGAAACCCTTACCTTCGCTTCTAAAAACTTCAAAAGAAATCCTATATATCTTAAAAAAAAACTTAAGTTTCTGGATGAAATTACAAAATTAAGATAGAAGAAATATTGATTTCCACATATCAATTGTCCGTCCTCATTGTGATGCCCGCGATCTTGAGCTCAAAAATACATTTTGTCCACTCTAATGATATTGTCTAACGGTTCAAATTAAGTTAGTTTCAAAAATAGGCTTAATGTCTCTTTAAAAGTGACATTATTTTAGTATGAAATCAATTTAGGATAAAAAAAAAACCTCGGTTGGCTCCCTAAAAGGCGGTAGGAAAAAAGTTCGCTTAAATGAAATTTGAACTATCAAGACGTTGTGCTCTAATGCACCATTTAAATTAGAAAAAATGATTTAGCATCCCGACACAATACCACAAAATTTTAGTTCAACAAATAAAATATCTAAGATACACGTTTTGACAAAGAGACTAAAAACCTAAAGTTCGTCAAGTCACCTGTAGCATAGATTATATGGCTTGGAATAATTATTATGTAGCATTTCTTCTATTTTATATTTTGTTGATGATCCAATCACAAATAAAATTCTTGTCAAGCAATTGAGAGGCGGCGTCTTTTTATTCATGTCCCAAATCAACATTTAAGAAATTTGTTCGTTTGTTTTATTTTATAAAAATGAGTAAATTTTTATCTCGTAATCTTATGTTTTTTTAACTTCTTATTTAATCAATTCGTTAAAATGATAGACATATTTAATCCACTGCAAAAGTCATTAAACACCCAACAATTTAATTTTTATTTTATTTTATTTTATTTTTTTGTTAATTTTTTTTGGTAAGTTTCTAAAGACATCCATAATTTTTTTATATTATTAATTATAATTTTTTTATATTATTAATTTTTGTTTTTGGAAATTATGAAAGGGAAAGGAGTTCAAATGGTAAAACATTGTTTAGCCTGTGAAAGGGGATCAATACCTTCAATTTTTGTTCATATATAGACGGTAGTATAATAATTTTTTAATTCGAGAATATATTAGATTTTTTAAATTTATATATATATTAAAATAATCTAAGTATAGTTAAATATACATATTATTCAGTTATTTTATTAATTTTTAACTTTTTAAAATTTAAAAAAACTATTCTTCTATTTTAGTTTTACACTTCACAAATTTACCAGCGCTAAATTCTCTGTTACTAACCTTT